CCCATCCACTGGTTCAGTCCTGAAATGTCTGCGGTGGCTGGGGTGGGCCAGGTGGAAGCCAGGAGCCAGGCACTCAATACAGGGCTTCTACATGGATAACAGGAACCCGAATACTTAAGCCATCACTGCTGTCTCCCAGGTTCGGAATTAACAGGAAGCTGGAATTGGGAACTGGAGCTGGGACTCAAACTCAAGTACTCCACGATGAGATATGGGCATCTCAACCAGTGTCTTAATTGCTGGGCCAAAAGCCTCCCTTCTATTAGCTATTCTGAAATATACAATTAATTGTTCTCAACCATAGTTGTCCTATCAAGCAGTATTTGATTAGAATAAATGGCAAAGTCATATTGCTCAGCCTAATAGACAAATGCTTTTCCTTGACACAACCCTCACACTTCAGGATGCAGCACAAACTTGCTATGCATGTTATTAAAAGGTACATAGATGTATTTCAAGGATTCAGATTTAATTAAATTAATAATCATTACTGATTCATCTTGGATTTTCTTAAGTGTAACTGGCTCTTTATTCCTTTCTACAAGTGTATGGTGAAGAATACAGTAAACCCTAGTTCATTTTACTGCTACTGCCTTGATTTGTTTTAAGGCACCAGCAGTTTTAACCACTATTCTTTTTGTGTCCTCGTTGTAAGTGTCAAACACAGTTGTTCTCAGGTGAATGATGAAATGCAAGTTATTGTACACTTTGCTTGCTTCAGCACCCTTTGTGTTTGCTCTCAAGCATTCAAATAAAAGAGCTCTGATGATTAGCTGGTGCTGATAGCAGATAAATATAAAAGTATCTAGTCCATACAGTTTTTTTTTTTTTAGTTTTTTTCATGCATTTTTTTTTATCTTTTATTTAATGAATATAAATTTCCAAAGTACGACTCATGGGTTACAATGGCTTCCCCCGCCATACCGTCCTTCCCACCCACAACCCTCCCCTTTCCCACTCCCTCTCCCCTTCCATTCACATCAAGATTCATTTTCGATTATCTTAATATACAGAAGATCAGCTTAGTATACCTTAAGTAAGGATTTCAACAGTTTGCTCCCACACAGAAAAATAAAGTGAAAAATAATAGATGATTTTTTTTAAATGATGATGAAATCAGATCAGACCTATTGTCATGTTTAATCCCAGTGAGAGTCAAGTTGGGAATTGATAATTTCTTTTTTTTTCTTTTTTTTTTTTTTACAGAAGATCAGTTTAGTGTACATTAAGTAAAGATTCCAATCGTTTGCACCCCCATAGAAACACAAACCATACAGCTTATAGTTTTGTCCATTTCTAAGGCAAAAATGTAATTCTGCAGACAAGATATGTTTGCAGTTAAATGTTTAATTCACTGAATTACTTTATCATTACAAGGTGGCAGTGCAGTGTTTTTTTTTTTTTTTTTTTTTTTTTTTTAATAGAAGCACAGAGACAGAGCTGCAATCTGCAGGTTCACTCCCCAAATGCCTGCTGGCTTACCCCTGAATTCCACAAAGGACAGGACAGGTGTAGCTGGAGCCAGGAGCTCGGAACTCAATCCAGGTCTCCCACATGAGTGGCAAGAGACCTGCTGTCTCCCGGGGTCTGCACTGGCAGGAAGCTAGAATCCAAAACCAGGGCTGTGTGATGTGGGGAGACTATGAGATACAACCAGTGTCTTAACTGCTGGGCCAGATGCCCATCCACAGTGATTTCACTTGGTGACTTTTCATCTAGAACACATTGAGAAAATAAACTGTACCAGGCTTTATTACTCATTCACCTATGATCTCTTCTGTAAGATAGTGGTATCTTACCCTATAAGCTACTGGGTTTTCATTTCAAGTTTGAAAAGTTGTTTCAACAATTTTTAGCTTTTCAAAAGTTCATTACATTTTAAAATGCAGTTTCTTTTTTAAAACTTTGGTTTCAAAATGGTGTTATAACTGGTACCATAAAACTATTAAAAATGTTCCGTTGCATAAGATACAATAAGGTAAATTATTAACATAATTAAAGCCAAGGGAAAACAGCATTGCCATATTTTTATTTACTTCAGTTTCTTCCAGTGACTTTGGAATAAATTTCTCCTTTTAATAAGTCACTGAACTCTCTGATATGTCATTTTCATCTGTTTCAGTATCTTTAAATGTAGACAGGACATCTGAGCCTTGAGGAAACAAGTCTTCTAATCTCCCCCTTTTAAACAAAAGATTATTCCCAATCAGATGAACAAGGATTTTAATCTCTCTCTACCTATAATGAGTAGTGCGACTTTGGACAGATTCTCAAAGCTCCACTTTCCATATACAGTTTTTGTGTGCTGGCAATCTCGGAGTGGCTTTGGGGGTTCTGGCTCAAGGTTCCTTATCAGATTACAATCCAGATGTTGGCCAGTGCTGTAGTCAGCTGAAGGAGTGATGTGGGTTGGAGGATCTGCTTTCAAAGTAGGTCACTCATGAGGAGGTTGGACTGTTGGCTTTGGTTGACTGTTCCAGAATGTCCTCATGACATGGTGACTGCATTCCCAGCTCCCAGAGTTGAGTGTTCAACCAAACTTGATTAGGGAAATGTCAGTGTCATACCGTTCAACCTAACAGACTAATGGACCTTATATTTCAACACTGAAATAATGCAAAGTATATTTACATTCTCTTTTTGTAGTGATACTAACCAGGAACCATGCTTCTATACTGTGTGGGAGGGCTTCTGGGCATTCAGTGCTGGATCTTCTCAAATAGTACTACTACTTTGGCATTTCATAGAAAACGTTATTTTGAAATGTTAATCTTTTGTTGACCGTACTTACATATATTAAGTTCTCCAGAGGCCATGATTTTTGGTTTGAACTTTTATATACTAAACAAAACTGTAAATGCTTTTAGGAGGAGAATTAATTTTGTAAAAAAATTTTTCTAGGAATTTCTTTGGGCATTTAAGTCCTTTATTATACAAGGACACTTCAAAAAGTTCATGGAAAATGGACTTGAAGATAAGTTTATTTTTGTGCAAAATATTTTGATATTCATGCAGTTCTTTCCTGACATACATTTTCCATGAACTAGTTGGAGACCTTGCATTTTTTTCACAGTCATCAAGGAGTTTTTTCTTTTAATTAATTAACTTTATGAAAATTACCAAGAATTGGAGGGAGGGAGAGGCAGCAGTAAGTTTCACAGCAACATCTTTGTGAGAAACAAAGACATTTGTTCTCCGAAGCTACTCCCAGCAGGGTCTTAATATCATCTGTTAATACAGGGTAACGATACAAGCTCCCCATGCCCTCCCACCTTTCTGGAACCCTAATGTCCTGCTTTAGCTGATTTTTTCTGTGATCTGCAGCTGACACAGCTCCTCATGGCCCCAACCATTGCCAGACTGGGTACTCTTTGATGGCTCCATGTCTGCTCCGTGGATTCGGCTTTAGCAATGCTACCCAGCTCCATTTTCTTTCCATTTGCTTTCCTAAGGTCAGGTTAATTCTGTCCAGAGCTAATGCAATAGTTCCTAATAGCCTCTGGGCTCCTCAGTCTCACCTCCTCTAAGCTGCTTCCAGTTAATTCTGTCTGCCTAAAATTCTTGTTTCCTTAGTGTTTGTCAAAGAAAGCTCCAGTGTCTCAGCTGGCCATGGGAGGTGCTCCACCGAGCGCACCAAGTTACCTTTCACACTTTGTGTCATCATCTTCCCTGTGACAGTACTATGGGACTATAAACTCTTGGCTCCTGCCGTTCCCTCTTCCTTAAATGGGGCCGGCCTGTACTGAAGGCCAGCAAAGATTTTCCTCCTGACCTCCTTTATTCTCCAACAGACGTGTTGTCTCTTTTTAGGCCACTCACTGAACTTTGTATTCCTCGTGATACTTAATCATAATCTGTTCTTTTAATATAGTATGTGTGTACTTACCTTATCATTCTCCCAAGTTATAATGCACTTGAAAGGACAGACTTAATCATTCATCTCTTTCTCTTGCAAACTGCTGGCCTGGATTTTTTTTTTCCCAGTTGGGCTTCAGTAAACAGTTGTATAAATCCACCGGGGAACAAGTATTTGAGAATAGTGGAGGCCAGGATTCCTGTTTATCAGGCACAATCTAAGTAGAACTTAAAAAGTTACATAAACGCACACACATAGGTATTCAGGTACTTTAAAAAGTTCATGGACAATGTGTATGGTATGCATGGCTTTCAGTGTTTATGTTTCCCCACACCAAAGTAAATGTATCGTTTAATGCCATTTTCCGAGAGTTTTTTAAGTACCCTCATAAGTGTATCATTTTGTTAAAATGGCTCTGTTGTTTAGGGTTGCACCTAAAATAATTAGTTGTAGCCCAGATGATAACTCGAGAGCAGAAAACGGCTTCGCCATCTCCATCAACTTGGGTCCACGTTTTAAAAAACGCTGCTTTGAGGAGGCAAGCTATTTTGAGGCTCTTGAGAACCTTCCAGAGAAACAGGCCTTTCCCCAGGCCGGCTGGGAGCTCGCCGCGTCAGGGCGGGCGGAGCGTCCGTCCCGACTTCCCACTCCCGCCGAACCAGGCCGACCTGTTCCTGTCGGGGCCTGTCCGCCTCGCCCTGAGGGCACACGACCTCTCCTGGGGCGCCCACACCGGCGAGGGGCGCGCCGAGGGCAGGGGAGGGCCGTCCCGGGCGCCTCTGGACAGGCGGCCGGACGGGGGTCAGGGTATGGGAGGCGAGCGGCGGGAAGCCACATTCGGGGTTTCCAGGCGAGGGACAGGAAAACAGGCGGCCGGCCGGGGCGGAGCCGGGCAGGCGGGGCGAGGGCGGAGGGCTCATTGCCTCATCCTGTACATTTTACTGGAAACCGGCCGCATCCGGAGGAGGGGCTGGGAGGCGGCCCGGGTGCTGCCAATAGCCGGGCCGGTTAAATACCCTCGCCGCGCCCGTGCTCGCGCTGTGCGCCTGCCGACAGGTCCCCCGAAGCGCTGCTATAGAAGGCAGACGCGCGCGACGAGCCGGTGGTGCAGTGTCCCGGAGCCCCGAGCGCCGAGCCCGGGAGCATGATCGTGGACAAGCTGCTGGACGACAGCCGTGGCGGAGAGGGGCTGCTGGACGCGGCCGGCGACTGCGGCCTCATGACAAGCCCGCTCAACCTGGCCTACTTCTACGGCGCCTCGCCGCCGGCCGCCGCTCCTGGCGCCGGCGACGCGGGCTGCACATCGTCCGGGCCCTCGGCGCCCGGGTCGCCCGGCTCTGACTCCTCCGACTTCTCCTCTGCGTCCTCCTGCGGGGCTGTCGAGTCCCGGTCGAGAGGCGGCGCCCGCACCGAGCGCCTGCAAGGTACTCAGCGTCCTGGCATCCCTGTTTCACCCGAGACCCACGCGCCTGGGGGTGGACAGGCCGGGCGCCCAGATGGGCAGGCCTCTGCCAGCTGTAAGGTGGCCCTGTGCAGGACATAGGCACGTTAGGCGTCGTGTATTGAGCGGTACTGGATGCCTGTCCTGGGCTTGGCGTCGAGCTGACTCAAAGCTGGCGGGCTTGCAAGGTCCCTCAGGGCTGAGCGCTTGGCGTCAGGGTGGGGGCGGGGGGCAAGCACGACATCTAATTTCCCTGTCTGCCCGCCAGCAGCTCGTGAAGTGTGACGACTAGGCTGTGACGGGGTTTTGGGGTCTGTTAGAGGTGCAGCTTTCTTGTGGGTATTTTAGTGAAAAGCTAAGGGGAAACGAGAAGGGGATTGGGAAGTGTTTACAGTCACGATTTCTAAGTTTTTCTGGAAACTCTTACATGGTCATTCAAGAGAAGGAATTGCTGTTGCCGGGATGTAAGGCGAAGCTGGCCAACGGCGACCGCGCCTGTGGATTTAGCTGGCGATGCTGGCGCGCTGGGGACGCCTGTTGGGGTCTCCGTGGTCATCTGCTTTTGTGTTTTCGGTGTGCGTGGGGATGGATAAGCCGTGTGTAGCGGAGAGAGGCGTGATGTTTCCTTTCTTCGCTTGTGAATCGGTTCGTTTCCTTTCTTAATGAACCGAGTTGCATAATTTGGGGAAAAACAGGATGCCGTTGTGGGTGAGATGTAACGCCTAAGTTCGAAGGTTGCTGAGTCTGGTGAGCGTGATTTAAACAACATCTCTTTCCGGTGTTCCTCAGTGCTGGGCACTGCTGTTTAGGATCTTTTATTAAAAACAATTTTTATTTTCATTTTAAATCATTGGGAAAGCGAGCTGAGCAGCTGTTAAATGTATAACAATTGGCCGGCGCCGCGGCTCACTAGGCTAATAATCCTCCGCCTTTCGGCCCGGGACACCGGGTTCTAGTCCCGGTCGGGGCGCCGGATTCTGTCCCGGTTGCCCCTCTTCCAGGCCAGCTCTCTGCTGTGGCCCGGGAGTGCAGTGGAGGGTGGCCCAAGTGCTTGGGCCCTGCACCCCATGGGAGACCAGGATAAGTACCTGGCTCCTGCCATCGGATCAGCGGGGTGCGCCGGCCGCAGGGCGCCGGCTGCGGCGGCTATTGGAGGGTGAACCAATGGCAAAAGGAAGACCTTTCTCTCTGTCTCTCTCTTTCACTGTCCACTCTGCCTGTCAAAAAAATAAAAAAATAAAAAAAAAAAAAAAATGTATAACAATTAAAAAGTGTGTGTTTAGAACCTTTTATTTCACATTTGACATTCATCTGGATAAAAGTAGTTGCTCGTTCCTTGGTTTACCACACAGCCATTGGGGATTTCTGAAAGTACATTTTTTTTCTCCCTGTGACGTTGATTTATTAATTGCTATCATTCCAGAGGAATGCCATGTTAGGTTTTGGCAGTTTTGTTATCTGTTGAAATCCCTAAATTGTGTTTAGTAACTCTCCTCATTGTTGAGATGTTAGTCTCCTTTATGATGCGTATGTTCAGATTGTGCTTTGTTTCTTGTCCCATCTTTTTACTGCTTTTGATAGAGTGGCTGAATTATTCATTTCCTGACATTTTAAATGTTTGAGCTCATCTTATATCCCAGTTGGTTGTGATGCACTGCTGGTCAGAAGTGGAACACTTACCTACATAGATACCACATTTAAAAGTGTGTTTTAAAGTTTCAATGTGAAATGAGCATATTTCCTTTTTGCTTAGAAGGCCTGAATGAGCAATTCCCATAACGGGAAATCCTGCATGTGTATTGGAAATGTGTTTAAGCTCAGTGACTTAAGCTTTCTTGGCACAGTTGAATTGAGGGAAGTAATAAGAATAAGTCTAAAATGTTGTTAATTAGTTTTTGGTTCATTGAGATCTTTGAAGGAAGCTGTTTTATACCTTTTTAGGTGTGTAGAATTAATGGACTCTCAATTTTGATGTGAATATTGAGTCTTTGATTTGAAAAACTGTTCCCTCAAGTTTTTTCCGAAGTCAAGAATAATTACAAATCTCTAAGAGTCAGGGTGATAAAATCTGTGATCTATCTCATGGGAAAGAGGCAGACTAATTTGGGCTTACCCATTGGCTCTGGCCCTCCACCGCATTTTTTTAAGATTTTTTTATTTTATTTATTTGAAAGGCAGAGTTACAGAAAGGCAGAGAGAGGGAGACGTTTTCTATCCGCTTGCTGGTTCACTCCCTAGATGGCCGCAACGGCCGGAGCTACGCTGATTGGAAGCCAGGAGCTTCTTCTGGGTCTCCCACGTGGGCACAGGGGCCCAAGCACTTGGGCCATCTTCCACGGCTTTCCCAGGCCGCAGCAGAGAGCTGGATTGGAAGTGGAGTAGTCAAGACTGAAACCGGCGCCCATATGGGATGCCGGCACTGCAGGTGACAGTTTTACTTACTATGTCACGGCACCGGCCTCCCCTCTACTACATATTAAAGGGCTTTAATTCCTTAGGATACTATGTAGGAGCAAGTCTCAGGCAACCTCAGACTCTTGAGTAGAGCTGGGGACTGACACACAAAGCCACTGACCAGAGTAATTGGGAAAGACTTTGCAGTTTGTTACATGGGGACTTTATATTTATACGGCTATGCTTTGGGGGTTGTTAAGATTTGTGTCTACGAAGAGATTTAATTGGGCCATAAAACATTTTTTTTTTTTTCCCGAACAGTTGAGCCCCATATGGGGGTTGGCAGGCAGCAGAGAGGACCCTTTCAAGGTGTTCGTGTGAAGAACTCCGTGAAAGAACTCCTGCTGCACATCCGAAGTCATAAGCAGAAGGCTTCTGGCCAAGCTGCGGATGATTTTAAGGTGGTACCCATTTCTTGCTTTGAGTGGGTTGGAGGGGAGGTTAGTCTGCCAGGGTTATTGCTTTCTACTGACCAGCCTCCAGTAAGTCACTTGCAGTTTTTCAGATGATAGAGTTCATAGGACAGAGACCGGACTTGTCTTGATGTCTGCTCTGTTCCTATCACTTAACCCAGTGCCAGGCACATGGTAGGTATCCGAGAGAAATTGATGAATGAAAGCAAGTTAGGGCCAAGGAAATAATCAGTATTCAGTTGACATGGGATGTTTTGACTATACAGGGAAAAGATAAGTGGCCTTTATTAATTTAGTCTTAATAAGTTGAACTAAGGTGAAAGTGAAAATGGGGAAGTTGCAAGAGAGAATGAGAACTGAGAATGAAGTAAATATTGATAGAATAACTGATTCCTGGTAAGCTATAAAGGGCGGTAGAGATAAGTCTCTTTATTGACATATATTAAGCAGGAAACCATTTTGTGTATATTAAATTGGAAATTCTTTTTCTTTTATAGACACAAAGTGTGAATATAGAGCAGTTCACAGGTAAGAGTTACTTCTGTTCATAATCTTAGAGTAAAATAATTCAGTGTGATGATGGGAAAACTTGCAAGGTAAAACGGTCACTGACTTCGTATTCATTTCTTGGGACAGAATTGAAGAACACAGTATCATATACTGGGAAAAGGAAAGGGCCTGATTTGTTTTCTGATGGACCAGCTTGCAAAAGGCCAGCTCTGTTGCATACCCAATTTTTGGTAAGGACTATTTGCTTCTGCATACCCTTTTGAAGTTATCCCTGAACTAATTTTAGAAGGAAGGCAGAGTACAAGGTGTGTTTTCTTTCTTTTGCAGACACCACCTCAAACACCAACGCCGGCAGAGAGCATGGAAGATGTTCATCACAATGAATCCAAACAGGACAGCTGTGCCGACCTGCTGCAGAACATTATGAACATTAAGAATGAATGCAGCCCAGTTTCCTTGAACACAGTCCAAGTTAGCTGGATGAACCCTGTGGTGGTCCCTCAGAGCTCTCCACAAGAGCCGTGTCGGGACTTTCATGGAGGGCAGATCTTCTCCCCACCTCAGAAATACCAACCATTCCAAGTCAGTGGCTCCTCCCAAGTGATGGACCAGGCTTCTATGTATCAGTATTCTCCGCAGAACCAGAATACAGAACAGCCGCCCCCGCAACATTACACCCATAACCCGACTCTGGAATACAGTCCTTATTCCAGGACTTCCCAGTCCCCCAGCTGTGAAGCAAGCCTCTTTGATAGTCAGGCACCACAGTTCTGCCCAAACACCACTTTTACAACCCTCCTAAGTGGTCATGGGGAATCTGAGAATATTACTGTTCCCATTCAGACTTCCCCCAGTGTCCAGCAGCAAAATGATACTCACTTGCAGAACTTCAGTCTGATGCCAAACAGTGCTTGTCAGGCCATGGCGGGGCATGATGCAGGCGCTACTGCTTTAAGCTCAATCCAGGACATCAGCAGTCCAATGAGCACCACGCAGTTAGGGAAGTCATTTTTTCAGTGGCAAGTAGAGCAGGAAGAAAGCAAATTGGCAAATATCTCCCAAGACCAGTTTCTTTCAAAGGATGCAGATGGTGACACGTAAGTATCCTTTTATCTCGGGTACTTAAGTCAAACTTGTTGGATCTAGTGGGTGCAGAGTTTCTCTAGTTGGATACCTTAATTGTTGGCTAACCAAGATGACTATTATAGACAGAAACTGCTACTCCATGGTGACTCATATTTTAAGAGTTTACCTCTTTTCTTTTTGGCTGAAACTAATTGTTCTAAATTAATAAAAATATGTGTGTGTGTCTTTGAATAATTGGTTTTGGAATACCAGCATAAACTGTGTCTTCAGAACCCATAGTTAAGCATAAAAATTGTGAGTTGATTTATAGATTGAATCCTAATCTGTGCTAATGACTTTTGTGGCATTGGGCAAGTTATTTAACCACTCTCCGCCCCAGTTTCTTAACACGTAAAATGATAGTGCTTCTCACAGGGTTTTTATGAGTATTAAACATTATAGTTCCAAAGGGATCAGCATGGTGCTTGGCAGCTTTTTTCTTATTTCTGGTAGCCTGAGTTATCCCTTTGCAACTTGGCTGTGTTACCAACCTACCAGAAAGAACAAATTATGCTCTGTAATATTCCAGTTCAGTGTATCAATATATCAAAAAGAGGGTTAAAGGAAATTTTTTTTTAAGAGGAACTTCAGGGAAATTAGAAGTGATTCACCTCCTTTCCCTTGCTTGTTCCCCAGGTTCCTGCATATTGCTGTTGCCCAGGGGAGAAGGGCACTTTCCTATGTTCTCGCAAGAAAGATGAATGCCCTTCACATGCTGGATATTAAAGAGCACAATGGGCAGGTGAGGATCTTGGCAGAGTCTGGAATGGCAAAGATCTGGTCATAGTAAAGTGACTGATGGACCAGATAATTTCAGAACTGAAGAGCAAGAGCGTTTAGTTAATATTAACTTTGAGATGTTGACTTTTGCTACCATCAACCTTGAAGTTATTAACATTGACTTTGTAGTTATTTGATCGAAGATTGAGTATAATAAAGCCTCACCCTGTTTATTTTAGTTTCCTTGTCTTACAATATCTGATTGCTTATTAGTAGAATTTATTTTCTCTATGTGGGATTTTCCCTAAGTCACAGTTTAATTTCATATGCCTTGTTAGGGTACTGTTACATGTTAAAATACATATACATAAAAATATATATACACATGTTTGTGTATGTATATGTATATGTGTATATGTGTGTGTATACATATATATATATATATGCTTTTTTTCTCCTGAACATCCACAGAGTGCCTTTCAGGTCGCAGTGGCTGCCAATCAGCATCTCATTGTTCAGGACCTGGTGAACCTTGGGGCCCAGGTGAACACCACAGACTGCTGGGGAAGGACACCTCTGCATGTCTGTGCTGAGAAGGGGCACCCCCAGGTGCTTCAGGTAAGAGGCAATGACGCAGACTCTCATCACTGTGGGCCGAGAGGGGGCTTGGATATTAGAAGTGCGATGTAGGTTTCTTGGTGAAATAGTGTGTTTTGAGTTGACTTTATTATTCCTTGGGATACCAAGAGATCAGTATTTATATAGTTTGTCTTTTGCCAACAGATGTCTGTTTTAAAATTTTGCAGGCAATTCAGAAGGGAGCTGTGAGGAGCAATCAGTTTGTGGATCTTGAGGCAACTAATTATGATGGTAAGCAGCTGAAACTTTATTGAATAAAGAATCATTTGGAGTCTGGAGTCCATAGCTTTAGGGTACTGTGTATCATAAAATGAATGAGGGAGGTAATTAAAGCGAAAATATTCTATAGATAACATTAGCACAAAACTCAACAGAGGGAGTATTCAGGTTACCTTCGTATTTGTGGAATCCATTTATAGTGAAAGTGAAAGGTTTGTAACAGTAGAGGGACGTGCAGACTTAATGAGATCCCTGACTGCTTTATTACAAATTTTTTTAAAGGCCTGACTCCCCTTCATTGTGCGGTCATGGCCCACAATGCTGTGGTGCATGAACTGCAGAGAAATCAGCAGCCTCATTCACCTGAAGCCCAGGAGCTTTTACTGAAGAATAAGAGTCTTGTTGACACCATTAAGTGCCTGATTCAAATGGGTGCGGCAGTGGAAGCAAAGGTAAATTCTCAAAAGAGGTGTGAGATGGAATCAGGAAGAAAAGTGATTAAAGCCAGTGATCTTACTCTCTAGTACAAATTCAAACTTCTTTTTAAAATATTGACAGAGTGAGTGGCAATGTATGGTTGGGTAGTTAGGAAGCTTAGATTTTTGAAAGATCCTTTCATCTGCTTTATTGATTTATTTGAATCATCTGTGGATTATTATCCAAAATATCAATTAGTTGTGAAATTAATGTCTTTGTTTTAAAGGAAAGGAAAATGCTTGGAATTGATATTTTCACTTTCATTTTCATACACGGAGGAGTGCTTTTTTTTTTTTTTTTTTAAAGATTTATTTATTTATTTACTTGAGAGGCAGAGGCAAGTGAGGTCAGTCTTCCAACTGCTGGTTCACTCCTTAAAAGACTGTAACAGCTGGAGCTGGGCTGATCCGAAGCCAGGAGCCAGGAGCTTCCTTTGGGTCTCCCATGCAGGTGCAGGGACCCAAGCACTTGGGCCATCTTCTACTGCTTTCCTAGGCCATAGCAGAGAGCTGGAGCAGAAGTAGAGCAGCTGTGACTCAAATGGGCACCCTTATGGGATGCCAGCATTACATGCAGAGGCCTTACCTGGTACGCCACAGCACCGGCCTGTGGACGAATGCTTTTTGTAAGAGTTTCCTCATTGTTGTAGGATCTGGACTTAAGTTTTCTGTTTTATGAACTTGAAAATATTTTAGTCCTTTTAAATTCAGGATTCATTTTCTGAGTATCTCCTTTGTGCAAGGAGGTTAGGTGTTTTGGATCATAAATCGCTTGGGACCCTGAGGACTTACTGTCTGATAGAAGAGTTAAGAAATAACAGTTAAATATAACTCTGCAGGTTGACCACCAAACCTGGAAACACAGGTGAATGCATAATAAATGGTTTATTGATGTATTAGATGTATTACATGATTAAAAAACCACCATTTTATGTTTCCACGGTTTTATAGCTACCCTGTATACAAGGATAGACTGATAAGAGGCAGCTAGGCAAATTAATAGGAAATTGAAGAATCAGAGTCCATTTACCTTGGGATTAAGGGAGGCTTTGTGGAGAAGGGTGTGTTGAAAGTGAGTCTCCCTGGTGGAGTCAGACATTTGAAGGTCAAGGTGAAAGTGTTTTCCAAGACTTGGTGTCTGGATTTTAATTTCTTCCCTCTTGCCTTTGACCAGGACCGTAAAAGTGGCCGTACAGCCCTGCATTTTGCAGCTGAAGAAGCAAATCTGGAACTCATTCGCCTCTTTTTGGAGCTGCCTAGTTGCCTGTCTTTTGTGAATGCAAAGGTACTTTTAGAAAGCTTTTGTGACCATGCCAGAGTTGGAACGACCTTTACACCTTCAAGCTTTTGAGCCCTTTTCCCCAAAAGCCCCCTACCTAATGTAGGTTTTGTTTGTTTTCAGGCTTACAATGGAAACACTGCCCTCCATGTTGCTGCCAGCCTGCAGTATCGGGTGACACAGTTGGATGCGGTCCGCCTGTTGATGAGGAAGGGAGCAGACCCAAGTACACGGAACTTGGAGAATGAACAGCCAGTGCATTTGGTTCCTGATGGCCCTGTGGGAGAGCAGGTGAGGGTCACAGGAGGGAGGGGACATTCTCCTTAGACAATCTGGTCTGAAACATAGGAGATGCTCCTTAGGTGTCCAAGTCTCACAGTAGTCATTGTAGCACTTTGGAGTTACTTTGTATCCAAAAGATTAAGAAATTGGAAGGATTTCCAAGGACCAAAATGGTCTGAAGTCTCTCTTCCGTGACTCAGGTTTAGGTTTAGAGTAGATCAGAATGGTTCTAGATTTGAAAACTGGTGAAATAGAAGGTACACCAGGGAAGAGAATCTGAGTTTTATAAGCCGTGCTTTCAAATTTCGTGGGTGTAAATGACTTGATATATGTTGAGTATTTGTAGTAGTTCCAGGCACATATTAAATGCTTAGTGAACATGAGCTATTATTTTTATTATAGAAATAAAAAGCTTACTAGAGTAATACGTGATCCTGAAAGGAACTGGGAAGGCAATTTGAATAATTTAGAATTTAGGAATATTTTAAGGCAAATTTTGCTTTACTCAATAAAATATGATTATATATGATTATTGGGAATTGAATAGTATCACATGAATGAACCTCTCTAGATAATAAGAACTTAAAATGTTAAAGTAAGAACTTAAAATAAGAACTTAAAGTGCAAATATTTTCCTGGGGGAACTGAGAATGATTGTCTCTGGTGGGTCATTACATACTTTATTAATCACAAAATATATAGAATACAATTTAGCTTTTTCTTTGCTTCCTGTCTGTCATAATGACTATAATATTAGAGTAACCCCTATTTGTAGGGTTCATATAACTTTGAATGAATCTCTTGATAGTTCATAAAAACTTTTTATGTAAATTACACCTCTTAGTATTATAGAAACTTTGCAGTAATTGTGATTCATAGCAGTTTCAAGGCCAGGGACTGTCATTAACTAGTGAGCTTAATATTTATTTGAGCTTCATTGGTAGTGGTGTGCACTCCGGAAATGATGTTCACAGGAATTCCTGAGGAATGGAATGTTCTCACATTGCTCTCCTTTCTGTTTTTGTGTGTGTGTTGGGGGAACACACAGTATTTGCTTTTATTGTCAGACTGTGGTCATTGTGTTTCCTTCTAGTAGTTATCAGTTGTATCTCCTACCCCTATCTTCTCTCTTCTAAACTGTTGCTCTAAGTATCTGTGAGGTAAGAAACATATGCAAAAATCTGTCAGAGATATGAAATTAACCATAGGCTATACACCAACATGGGAGCCTGCCTCTGATTCATAGTCATTTGGGTAACATGGCCACTATTTTGTTTTAGAAAGCTTTTATTTAATAAATAAAAATTTCATAGGTACAGCTTTTGGAATATAGCAGTTCTTCCCTCTATACCCGCCTTCCCACTTCCATTCCTGTCCCACCTCCTACTCCTTCTCCCAACCCATTCTTCATTAAGATTCATTTTTAATTATCTTTATATACAGAAGATCAACATTATGCTAAGTAAAGATTTCAACAGTTTTCACCCACACAGATACACAAAGTATAAAGTACAGTTTGAGAACTAGTTTTACTGTTAATTCTCAAAATACAACTCATTAAGGACAGAGGTCTTCCATGGGGTGCAAATGCACAGCGAATCCTGTTGTTGATTTAACAATTGACACTCTTATGACGTCAGTGATCACCCGAGGCTCTTGTCATAAGCTGCCAAGGCTATGGAAGCTTTTTGAGTCCACAAACTCCGTCAGGATTTAGACAGGGCCATAAACAAAGTGGAAGTTCTCTCCTCCCTTCAGAGAAAGGTCCCTCCTTCTTTGATGGCCCCTTCTTTCCACTGGGTTCTCACTCACAGAGATCTTTCAGGTAGGTCATTTTTTTCCCCAGTGTCTTGGCTTTCCATATCTGAAACTGCTCTCATGGGCTTTTAGCAAGATCCAAATGCCTTAAGGGCTGATTCTGAATGGCCGCTATTCTTACTGAAAGAATATTAATGATTTATTTGTGTGTGTTTAAAGGGATCTTCAAAAAGTTTGTGGAAGATGCATATTTTGGCAAAACTAGATTTACATGGATTTCAAAATTTTTTTTGCACCAAAATATGCTTATCCTTTAATTTCATTTTCTACGAACTGTTTTGAAGTACCCAAGTATAAGATAGGTTTTGTGTTCTTGTTAGTTAAGGCTAACTTCAAGATGAACAGGATATGTCACTGTAATTATTGCCTTGTAATAAGTGCTTTCACAAATAGCAGAAGTAAAGCTTCAGAAAGGAATGTAGGTCATCTTTAAGTTGTTGGAGCTTTTCAACCTCAGATAATTTTTAATGGAGTTTTTTTACTATTTTGTACTCAAAAGATCATTATAAGAGATCTGAAATAAAGTGTGAAAGGAGTTATAGCATTTTTTTAAAGTCACCTGAAAATACTGAAAAATATTGTGTACATTTCTTCGTATGCTTATAAGTTAATAGGAATAGTATAGCATATATACAAAAGAACCTCTGAAGGAAATGTACCACTTTGATCATTAAAAAATAAACATTACAGTCTTACTTATTTCTTTCAGATCCGACGTATCCTGAAGGGAAAATCCATTCAGCAGAGAGCTCCACCGTATTAGCTCCATTCACTTGGAGCCTGGTCAGCAACACTCACTGTCAGTTAGGCAGTCCTAATGTATCTGTACATAGACCATTTGCCCTGTATTGGCAAATGTAAGTTGTTTCTATGAAACAAACATATTTAGTTCACTATTATATAGTGGGTTATATTAAAAGAAAAGAAGAAAAATATCTAATTTCTCTTGGCAGATTTACATATTTCATACCCAGGTATCTGGGATTTAGACATCTGAATTTGATCTGAGTGGTAAAATTGCCTTCAATTAACAGTAGCTTTTGGGTAGGAAGAAACTTTGTTTTTGTGGCGGTGCTTTTGTAGCTGTTGCCAGTTTGAAAGCAGGTAAATTATAAACATTTCTTTAAGAAAAAAGTGAAAGCATTTGGAAGGAAAAAATAAAGCCTGGGTATAGTATTGAGGCTCATTTGGCTTGGTACAATAGCTGTTAATTATTTGTGTTGGAAAGTCTCTAGTCAGTGGACTAGATGAAAGATGTCCATAGTTAGAATTTGATCTTTGTAAACTGTAAATAATTGTTACTTTTGTCTTTAAAAATATTGTACATATTTGGCCATTAACATGACCATTTTTGAAATGTTTTAATCAATAGGAAATAGCAAGTGAATTGATAAGTATTTTTTAAAAAGCTTACATATTCAAAGGAGCTATTACTGTGTAATCACCCAACTAAAGTCTTTGTAAGTAAAGTAGATGGAGATTGTTCCCTTAGTGGCTGAAAGAGCTGTTTGAATTGTAAATATGCTTTTTCTCATGCATTAAAATGACACATTTTATGGCTCACCCTGTAGAATTTATAACTTATATGTCCTGTTAAAATTTTTGCTTTTTTTATGTAATAGAATGAAAGTCAATGTTAAAACATGTCTTCCTGTTTACTGTTGTCAAACAATAATGACGCACTGTGATGTTTTATATTAACATTCAGGAAAAAATGCCCCAAGGAACATATTTGGCTTCGATTGAACACTAAATTTTTATAATAAATTTAGCTCATTGAAAACTTCTTTTTCTTAAATGGTCTCACAAGCAATTGACTAAATTATCTTTGTAGCTAAGCACTTATATTCTTTTAAAAAGATACACCTTTGAATTGATCACATTGTTTGACCCAGTATGTCTTGTGGACAAAAGTTAGAGTCATTTGGTATCTGTAAATATGGTATGATGCAAACCAGTCCACTCGCACTGGAAAAAGTCTTCCATGATTTTAAATAAACATTAATTCACTAATACTGTTTGTCTTGACCACGTGTGTTTTCTTGTCATGGTCTTTTGTTTTTAATTGCCATAGACAGAGAATGTACTACAAATAACTTATATAAATACATTCATTGGTTAATATATTTAAACTTGGAATTGTTTTTTTGAGAACGTGTTTCCTGAAAGATACACAAGACTTACCATCAAAAATTACTTAGGTTCATCAATAGAGGTTTATTATGTTTCTGGAACTATCATGAAAGATTAATAGAAACTGCCCATTATGCGGAAGTTCATATGGTTAAAAAAAAAAAAAGGTAAAAGGGAGCAGTGAACAGAAGAAAAACAGCTGGGAGATTAATAGCATCATACTGAGAGGTTTAATCGGTGAGCAGAGTAAACGAGGTTCTTCCATTTCCCGACATAACCATTTTGATGTGTGTGAGCATAAATACATCAACATAGGGACCTTTGCATTGCGGTGCAGAGGGCTAAGCCACCACCTGTTTTACTGGCATCCCATATGAGTCCTGGCTGCTCTACCAGTCCCCTGCTAATATTCCTGGGAAAGCAGTAGAAGATAGCCTAAATATTTGGGCTCTTGGCTACCCACGTGGGAGACCCAGAAGGAGTTAGCCATGCTATTTGGGGATAGAAGATTCTGTCTGTCTCTCCCTGGCTTTCAAAGTAAATCTTTGGAAAAGAAAAAACATTTCTCTCAGCATCAGTTGTGACAATTACTCTCACATGTTCTAGTTTTTAACTCACGGACTCTTGAGAATCTGTTGAAAGCTATTACTCATTTCCCTGGAAAAATACACTTATGCATATATACATCAATGCTGTGTACAGTATTGGGACTTCATGTTCATCAGAATATGACAGGCTAACAATTTACTTGATCTCCATTTCTGTACATCAAATACAACTTTTCTCTTAAGTGAAATAAGGGTAATATGCTTTGCAAATGCAACCTGATAACCAGAACAGTAAAATGATGCACTACCACAACAAAGCTACACATTGAGCTTTTCCCAAGTGAGTTTTAGGTTCTCTCATAATTGAACCAATGTCTAGCAAGCATGTTTGCATGTGCAAAGATGTATGATTATGTGAGCCAAAGACATTTAGGGCATTTTTATTTTATTTTTTAAAAAGATTATTAACTTGAAAGTCAGAGTTACAGAGAGGCAAAGGAAGAGAGAGAGAGCAATCTTCCATCCACTGGTTCAAACCCAAATGTCTGCAATGGGTAGAGCTGCACCAATCTGAAGTCAGGAGCTAGGAACTTCTTCCAGGTCTCTCATGCAGGTGCAGGGGCCCGAGGCCATCTTCTGCTTTCCCAGGCCATAGCAGAGAGCTAGATCGGAAGTGGAGCAGCTAGGTTTCAAACTGGCTCCCATATGGGATGCTGGCACTGTAGATGGCAGCTTTGCCCACTACACCACAATTCTGGCCCCTAGGGCATTTTTAAAAAAGATTTATTTATTTGAAAGGCAGAGTTAACAGACAGCTTCCATCTGCTGGCAACAGCCAGGGCTGGGACCAGGCCAAAGCCAGGAGCCAGGAGTTTCTTCCAGGTCTCCCCACATGGTTTCAGGGGCCCAAGCACTCAGGCCATCCTCCACTACTTTCTTTCCCAGCTGCATTAGCTGGAGCAACCGGGTCTCGAATTGGTGCCTGGCAGATTTACCTGCTATGCCACAGCACCAATCCCTAGGACAATTTTTTTTTTTTTTTTTTTTAGATTTATTTGAAAGGCAGAATTAGGGGAGGGGGAGAGAGAGAGAGAGACTCTTCAATCTGCTGGTTCACTCCCCAGGTGGCTGCAACTGCCAGGGCTGGGTCGATATGATGACAGGAGCCAGGAACTTCTGGATCTCCCACGTGGGTGCAAAGGCCTGAGCACTTGGGCCGTCTTCCACTGCATTCATAGGCCATTAGCCAGGAGCTGGATTGGGAGTGGAGCAGCTGAGACTGAAACCGGCACCCATGTTGGATGCTGGCTTTGCAGGTGTGAGCCCCACCTGCTGTACCACAGCACTAGCCCCTCGAGCACACATCTTAATCTTACGATGTTTATGTGCAAGACAGTGTGTTCTTTATTGGGTAGAATGTTGAGTGACAAGCCAATGCTATAGATTCAGAAAACGAATTTATAGCTGACTGGAAAAGATTCACAGTAGAACATTTGAGTTGTATGAGAGTGTTTCAAAAGTTTGTGGAAAAATGGAATTCAAAGTATGAGTTTATTTAGGTGCAAAAAAACTTGAGATGCACGCAGAGATTTTTCATAAAGTACATTCTTGACAAATTGTGAAAAATTATCTGGCACTGAAATAAACCCATATTTTGATCACATTTTTCCACAAACTTTTTGAAATACTCATATCTTTAAAAGAGTTGATTTGGATGTTCATAGAAAGGGTGGAGAGGTATGTGAAAGAAGTAAAGAGAACAGGAATCAAGGCAAGGAGATTGGCAAGAACAGTAGGTGATTTCAATGTAGTTTGGTTAGACTAGGATGGTTGGCAAGTTTCATCAGGTGTCTTACCATTGACTGGTAAGACTTACCATTGACTGATACTCATGAGTATCAGGTCGAGAAAGATCCTCAGGTTTTGTAGGAGCTTGGCAGGTGAGGTTGCTGTGATTGATTAACAATGTCTGCTGTGGAGGTATGGGAAGTGGCTCTTAAACGGAACATACTTTACAGAACAAGCTTTACAGAAGCCAAGACCATGTGTTCATTGCTTAAGCTTCAGTGCCCAGACATGCCTGGAACATGGTAAAATCCCATAAAATTTGTTTAAATGAGTGTTTGAATGCTTGCCAATTCTGATTGGGATCACCAATTTTGGGGCAAGTGGTGTTTTTGAGCCAGCGTTATATTATTAAACACTAATGAATGACTATAATAATCTGAACTGAACTGAGTTACATCATTTAACAGTGAAATTGATGATAAGCTAATGAAAGTGAGCTTAAGTGGATTCATTTTTAGTTTTTTAAAAATCTGGTGATCCCTCTTTGCCAAGGACTAACTATCCACGGAGGAATCTCCCAACAGTCAGAGACTAAGTCTGTCAGCACTATTTGTTAGTCAAATCAGAAATATCTAATATCCTTCTATATTTTCACTTAATCAGGAGTGGAGAATTTCCTCCAACTCCCCCAGCTATTAATAACTGTCAGCTTCTTAAACCTACCACCACTGACTTCCATTTTCTTGTAACATTAATTGTTCTGTATTGAATGTGATCAAAGGGAGAAATCAGCTTCAGCCACTGGGCAAGTTCTTGATGGGTTCTCTGAAACAAGGTCTGGATGCAAGGTTTGAGATTAGTTGTAACTATACTGCCAGGTTTTTGTTTTTCCTGCTTGTGCCCTGGCTTAGTCATTGAGAGAAGGGGAGGGATTGTCTTATTCATCATTAGAGGTCTGGTAGCCAGCACAGTATATGACACGGTAGACATCAATAGTCTTTAATTGAATTTATAGCTTTATTTTTCTTCACATATTTTATACTTCAATGCATTATTTCTAAAAAGATTTAATTAATTTATTTGAAGAGTTAGAGAGGGACAAAGAGAGAGAGAGAGAGGGAGAGAGAGAGATATCTTTCACATGCTGATTCACTCCCTATGTGACTAATGGCCAGGCCTGAGCTAGGCTGAAGCCAGGAGCCAGGAGCTTTATCCAGGTCTCCCACATGGGTTGCAGGGGCCCAAACACTTGAACCATCTTCTACTGCTTTTTCCTAGGCCATTAGCAGGAAGC